ACGCGCTACAGAGCGGCAGTGCCGTGGGTGAATTTGACTTTGGTTTGAGTTGAATTTTTACAGGCCTATTCACCCCCCCTCTAGGTGTACCAAAGATCCTACAGACTACCACTAGGCCCCCTCGATCAACCGACCCCATGCGTCAGTCAACCGAAGCAGAGGCAGCGCTTTGACCGTGAAAAGCTCGTCGACGGTGAGGTCTCCGGCGGTAGCGTCACCACCGTCGTGTTCCCCTCAACATCTCGCATCAAATGAGGTAGGTCATTGGACCTCTAATGGTAGTTGGCTACGGCGGCGGCGCTCCAGCCATCCCTGGCCATGGCGTGCTCGGGCGAGCATGGCTATAGCTTCGTTGTGACCTAGCGGAGATCTAGGGTTAAGGTAGGGCTTCACGGTGGCGCCGGTGAGGCATGGCCGCGTGCGTGGCGGCTCGGCGGCGTTCGCCTCCGGCGAGGCCGGCATTGGCTAACGGCCGATGGCTCGAGCAAGCGCGAACCATAGCAGCTACAACATGGAGGAGAGAAGAGGGAGAGCAGCCGTGAGTTGTCTTAGCCATGGCGGGCCCGAGCTCGGCGGCGCTCTGATGGACATGGCAACGGCAGCGATGGCATTGGCCCAAGGGCCCTCACCATGGTTCGAACGGCGACACAAGCAGGTTAGGGGTGAAGAGGATGGCGTGGCGGCTCTGTGTACGCGAGCGATTGTGTGGTGGTGCGGCATGGTGGCAAGCTATGCCAGCAAAGCTCAGTGGCGGCGACGGCATGGTGCTCCTCTGCTTCGGCGCTATGCGACAGCGAGAGAGAGAGACAGGAGAGCTCGAGTGAGAGTGAGAGAGGGTGCGCGCGAGGCTTGCCCTCCCTTTGGCCTGGCAGCGCGGCTCGGCGCCGGCATACGGCCGCCAGATGGCGCGCCTGGCCTACGCACGGTCGGTCACCGAGGCCGTTTGAAATTGGCCATTAGGCCAGATTCAGTCGACTGACAGGGCGACTTTGAGCTCCTAGATCTCCTAATCCATGGCGATTTAGCAAAAACATCATTACTAGGAATTGTAGAGATACATAATAACTACAACTTTGCTTAAAAGAGTTTTGTCTAATTCACAATGGTTTTCAAACTATAATGCTCCAAAGTAGGCTACTTTGAAACTGAAAACCAGCTTGAGACTTAGCAAAATTTCTAAGTCCCTAAACAGCATTTGATTGCTACTTTGGAGCTGTTTTTGACTATGTTAGTCACTGAATTAGCTCATGACCCTTAAATAAAGTTTATTACCCATGTCAAGAACTACAACTTTTATTAAGGATGCACTGTCATGCAAACACTCTAGACTATAGTTCAACTCTAGTCAAAGTAGTATTATGAAAATTGAAGCTTTGAGTAAACTATGACTTAGAAGCAAATTTGGCCCATGCCATGAATACAAACATTGTTCTATTTACCATTCTAGACATGTCTAAGGTGTTTTCATGACCTCACAATCATCTCTTGCATTGGTAACACATGATCACAAGCATATGCATGTATATAATCAACATCACTTGTGATAATATGTAAGAATAAGATGAAATTCCATATGCTCATGCTCATGAATGCTTGGATGATGCTTGTGCTCATGAAATGCAAGTGCCAAATGCATGCTTAACACTAGGGTGTTACAACAGCCACACACGAACAGATTCCACTGGTAGGTTTGTAATATTCCTAGCATTCGATTCAAAATCATTGCCAAATTCATTTATTGCCAAACCTAGGCCTACAAATCATATTTAAGGCTCGTTCATTTACGAACGTCCTCTGAAACTGTTTCAACTGGAATGATAGGCTTATTGTTTGTATTAACATTGATTAGCAAACCCCGCAGCTTCAATCCTGGCCAAACAAACGAGGCCTTAATAGTCTATATGTATAGTCCTGCTCACATCTCTATCTGATTAATGATCAGCAAAGCCCGCAGATATGGCATGACAATAGCACATGAAAGAAAGCCAAGTGAGGCCTTGTTTGTGCAGTCATATCCACCTCGTTTCACATGTGCTAATAAGGTAGATTAAGGTTACCCCGACACATGTAGATTGAGATAGATATGAGTGTAAGTTGTAACCAAACAAGATCTAAGAGGGAAGAGGAGCACTACTCAGCGGTGCAGGCGGGAGACGGGGGGTGGCGACCGTCTTGGAGCAGTTGTCACAGTTGGAGGCGAGGATTGATCTAGGATGAGGTTCAGAGGGGAATGAAGGCACGACGGGTGAGGAAGAATGTGCGGCGTGTAAAATCTTGGATATATAGCGACAGCACAGGAACAGATTATTCCACTGGCAGGTTTGTAATATTCGTAGCCTTCGATTCAAAATCATGCCAAATTCATTTATTGCAAGTATTTGGCCATGCATGCAACTCAAGTACCTCCATATCCAGCCAGTCCTCAAAAAATATACCATGGACACGCCAACATGCAGGATAGGATATGCAACACTTGCTGGCTTTTCCTTTACTGGATTCTCCCCCTTTGGCACATTCGGAAATAATAGAGATTGCGACGAGGTAGATGCCACGTTTGGGTGGGAATGATGCTGTTGTTTTGTCGAGAGCTTCCTTTAGGCAGAAAGACATCAACTTGAGGAGTTATTGCTCCTATAATATCAGTCTGCGGCCCCCTTTATTCTCTGCCTACAAGGACATCAATCTTATCTATATATGAAGCTTCTTTCTGCAGGCATGCATGTCCCAAATATATAACTCTTGATTCTTGAAGTAAATGATTAGTTAGCTAGACAGGGTGATATGGATGAAGAACGGGATGACACTTGTTGGTCGCACGGACTATACGTACTTATCTAAATTAGAGTATATAAAGCAAAGTCTGCAAATGGTAGGATTAAGAATGATTCTAAAACACTGGGATCTATTGTGATAAAATCATAGCTTAAATCCTGACGGCTTTGATGACTTGATCTATGGGAGTACATATGTTTCGGCGGCCGTGATTATAATAAAATCATGAAAGCATATTGGCTTTTGATGTTGTACGTGCAACTGGTCCATCAATTCCCAATGCGCAAGCACGGAAGGCTCGCGATCAGCGCAACGAATATTGTTCGCCTTTTTTCTTTGCAAGAAGCTAGTCACAAGAGAAAATGGTCATAGCATGATCGATAATAATGCGATAGTGGTATGGGTAATAGGTCTTAGACCAACAGCTCATTGGCATCAGTGATGGTTCCACAGTTTTTCTGAAAGCCTTAAGATGTCTATGGATGTCGCCGCAATGACAGGGCCAGCCAGTGCATGCTTGATGAGACAGCGATGGCTGTAGCAGACTTAAGCAACATTGTAATAGCTATGTGATATTTTAGTGAAAAAAAAAACTATAGATCTCTCCAACATTCAAAAATTCAAATTTAAAAAGAGCTAAGGAACTGAACAATTTGCGAGAGCTTTTTCTCAAGAAATGGAGTTCACCAAGAGAAAACTTAAGGCTTCCTTGATTGTCCCTAGCAGAAATTATATAGCCACGAGATAGGAGTGAGAAAAAGGAATAGAAGAGAGACAACAATAACTTCAAGCCAATGAATTGTTCAACGATAGTTATATAAAGTTTGTGCCAATGAATGTGGTGGGTGCACAGAGAGAGGACAAATTCCAATCAAATAAATAAATGTACTTGCAAATGTCTTTTCAAGTAAAAAAACATATATGCTACAATGGAAAAAAAAACTAACTACCCACGGTATTTACGCGGGTCACCTTTGCTAGTTATATTTTATTGTTTTGATCTTCAGATTACTTTGGGTTGTTTTTTGTGAGTACTTTGAATCTATATGAAGGCTGGTGACTAATATGTATAGTTCAATCTGTGTATTGTCGCTCCTAAAATTTACATATATTATGTTAAACATTTAGGATTGGAAACGAAATTTTGATCGATCGAGAGTAGGATGTATTTGAGATGAAGAAATAACTTATTTAGTTATTTGTATAGTACATTAAAACTTGCAAGTATGTGTTGCGTGAGAACCCTCCCGGTGCTCTTGCAATATGGTCCATCCTTGGAATGTTGATGCAAATAGTCATGAGCCTCTGAGCCTGTGAATGGCTTCATGGAGTCCAGGGTGCATGTGGCATGGAACCTGCACAGGTGCACACCTCAAGAGAATATATAGACATTATTTCAGCATACACACACTATGATACACAAGACCTTGACTATTCTTGGCAGCATCTTGTACAGTTGCATATACACAGGTCATCCATGTCAGAGCATAAACCAGCCACACATGAGCTGCATATACACACACATGGCCTTCACAAGAGATCAATATGCCAAAAGGCCACCCCAAGAGCTGAGCTCGTAGGTTGCCTACAGTGGCGGATCTAGGATTGGGACAAAGGAGGGGCTGAACAAAGAAGATTTAGGACTAAAGCTAAAAATTAAAGGTGAATTCATACTAAGCTACAGTAATTAATGAAGGATTAAGACAGCTTAGGGGGGCTGTAGCCCCGGCAGCTCCCCCTGTAGATCTGCCACTGGTTGCCTGCGTGCATCATCGATCAACGATCATCAACATACATGAGTACATTAGTAACATTTGGAATAATCCTTTTATAAATGTAGAGGGCCTATCTTATTATATGCATGAAATTCTCCGCACCATTTCACAAAGTTTTGCTGGATATGTACAGCACTAGCTAAAAGATGGGAGCATCAGATATATGGAATATAGATCAACAGGATTCATAATTATATTGGTCCTGGACTGGCCACTATTCCCTATCCCATGGAGCCCGGCCGGCCTACTAGCTACCTCGACTCTGTGAGCGACATGTCCATGGTAGACGTGGCACGCTCTGTGTGCACAGACCATTTCCAAGGTACTAGTAGAACGAAAGTGCTATAAATAGTCAGGAACATGATGCCCGGAGCCTACACACACACACACCACCTCAGTGCCTCTCACACACATCCTAGCAAACACCAGCAGCTCGCTCCCGTGTGCAGTGCAATGGACATCGGCTTCTACAAGCGTGTCAGGGGCATCAAGCACAAGGCGACGACGATGCCCTTGTACCCCCGGAAACCGGCGCAGGTGGCACCCGCCGCGCCGGCGCAGCAGGCCGTCAGCAAGGCGAAACAGCCCTCCACCACCACGGTGTGGTCGATGCCGGCACCACCGCCGTCGACCGTGGTCGCCATGGAGGTTGTCGGCGGCATGGTGCCCGGCGGTGGCGATGTCGGCAGCGACGCCGACGTCGACAGCCGGGCGGCCTTGTACATATCCAGGGTGCAGGAGCGGCTTCGGCGCGAGCGCATGGCCGAGGACTGGCGGGTGTACTACTGACCAAGCTGCGCTGCTAGCTGCATGATCCCGGAGCAAGATCGGCTGTGCCCAGTTAGTTAAATATATTAAATTAAATATATACCAATAGTACTTACTAATCCATGGGTTATGTAGTTACTTTCTCGGTGTGTGTATGATGTATGTACACTTCATGTACTACCTATAATGCGTTATATGTTTTATATGGCAACTTCAAATTTCTAGAGCAAAAATCAGGACGGTTTCAGTGGAGATTTTTTTTTGAGTTTCATTTGTATTTAATACTGTAACACATCAACGGATTTGATGACTAGGTAGGTTAATTATGAAGAGAGAGAGAATTTCATAAAGTTTTATCTAGATTTGTCATAGTTACCAACAACAAAGCCTGACATGACAGCCTCGGTTATCACGCCATGCCTTATAGTTTTACCATGCTAGAGCAAGGCGGTCCACTTGGCAGTTATGAGTGGTGAGGTGATGGGGACGAGGTGTTTCTTTCCTTCATCCTCGTCCCCCTTCTCCTTTTTCAAGGTTGTCGCCCTTTTCCCTTTACAAGGCTCATAATAGCTTTTGTGCTGGATGGCGGAGACTCTTAACCCTAAGTCAGGACATACAGATCTAACTCCATCATATTTAGATCTAGAGATTCCATGTCTGTATGTTATATTAGGACGGTCCTCTGATAGACCTATTTAGTTGCATCATGAAAAAGCATGCATAGCATGCCACACTGATAATTGTTGAGTTATGAAAACTCAACATAAATGGAATGATAACGAAGGTTTAAAATGGCATCGTGGGCTCCATTTCATTACTAGAACTCTATCACATCTAGATCTAGGGCTCTCACATCTGTTAAGACGTTTCTCAAATGGATCTATTTAGCTACATCATGGAGAAAGCATGCCACATTGTTGATTGTTAAGTTATGAAAACTCAAATTAAAAATAGAGTGATAACTAAGGATTAAAATGGCATCATGTCGTCTCTATTTCATTATCACTCGCCCTGTGCAGGGGAGGGATATTTATATTAGGTAATAACTTTTACATTTTTACCCCTCCCCTTATAAGGTTTTGTACAAATGTCTAGAATATAATATTCTAGGGCATAATAATTTTTTCATGAAGGCTTCGCAGGCAGCTGTTGCCAACACGGGACTTCATTCTGGAATGGTCTCTCCAGTCGGTCGAGACTGTGCCCAAGACTTCACTCGATGCTCGAAAGCTTCACGTCCCTGGCCGGCAAAGTCTTCCACGAAGTCTCCTTTGGCCAAAGTCCCTTTTCCTACTTCTCGCGAAGTCTTCTTCCTTCAATATTTTTCTATCATAAGGTCCCTATCACATCTAGATCTAGGACTTCCACATCTGTCAAGACAGTTCCCAGTGCATCATGGGGAAAGCATGCCACATTGATGACTCCACTTGGTAGCGATGTCGCAGTGTTGCAAGGGAACTGTAGAGATGCTTGCATGGCACAATCATAGGTGGAATAGGACTGGGTTGCCCTATCTTCAATGACATACCACTTCGTCTATCACCCAAATTGGGACCAAGATCGTGCATTTGGAGTTGACATTATGAAGTAAGCCATAAAGTATGATTTGAGCTGGAGCTTGCAAGTTGTAATCTTCTTTTCTTTCGATTTTTAGTCGACATTGGAGATTTTTTATTCTTCTTTTCTTTCAACTTTTAGTTTCTCTTGTGTGCATCAGGATCCATTTTGCATTTGTAAGGTGTGGTAGAACCGCCCAAGTTATATGGCCCACATGTGCCCATCATTGTCTTCCAGACTTCTGATAGTCGCACATGGGAGCCAGACAACTCCGGTAGTCTGTCGGGTGTCCTTGGGGAACCCCGAATCATCCATGTTTTTCCTTCCGAGCAGGATACATTACAGAAAGCATTGCAGTAATACAACAGTTGTACAAATATACAAATATATTACTTCGGAGTAAATAGAGGAAGTCTTACAAACCATAAGTTTTACAAACCATTCGTTAAGTTATTACAAACCATAAGTTTTAGCTATCTAGGCAGTGGGGTAGCAAAACAGGTACCACTTATAACACATCACATAAAAGAGAGTCACCCTGCCCAAGGGTGCACAACATCTACTGCTGGGACTCCTCCTCCTGAACCGTCATGCAGTAGGGGCAAAAGCCTAACTGCTCATGAGGCTCACCTGCAACCAGGGTTTAACAAACCCTGAGTACAAAGGTATTCAACAAGACTTAACCGACGAAAAGGAAAGACTCCAAGGATATGTAGGCTTACAGGAACCAAGGTAAGTCTGTAGCAAGAATCAAGAATAACTTTTGCAGAAAAGCTTACTAATGATTGATCCTTACTTTCAAAGTTTTAGCTCAAGTTAAGTCATTACAAGTCTCCATTTTGCACCTATTCTAATTCATTCACTTCATTAACCAATCCATCTCATGATCATAAGTACTATTGTTTCATTAATTAACTACGATGCAGTTCAGTTGATCGAGTTTTCTTCTCCGAGAAGCAGCGGCGATTCGAATTGATTTAGCCCAGCTGTGGTTTCCTTACCACACGACATATGCAGGTCTAGGTCCGGTCCCGAACCCACATATATCAACCTTCACTCATATCCCCAAAACATGAACGGGTTCAGCTACCCAAGAGTATAGTACTCTACCTCCCTGCACCACTCCTGGCGGATTCATAGGATGTGTACACGCTACTCTCGCCATCTCTCCACTCCCAGTGCGCGGTTGGACTTTCACATAATGGAATAGCTGAGGTATCAAACTTACCGGAGTATGTGGCCAGTACTACAAGTCATGATCACAAGCGGCCCTACAACAATCAGTCCTTAATCGACACAGACGGGACGAGCACGACCAGGCAACCATGTCGGCTTAACGACCAGAGACATATCCCATGTCCTGTCCGGTCTCTAATTAAAGCATATTCATTAATAACCTTTCAGGTCAATTCCTGAGTATAGAACCATTGTGAATGATGAAATCATCACCCGACTCTTATCACTAAGCAGGGCTAAGCATAGCTAACCTATTATACTACAAAGGGTAACAAGGAATGGTATTTAGAATAACAAGGTAGTCATGCATCAGATGGTATTCACCCAACTCCTAGTTTACTTGATGCAACAAGCATAAGACTTATGTGAATAACTTTTATAAAACACAAGAAAATGGTTATATGCTCTGGGGCTTGCCTGCGGTGTCGGGGTTGTCAGATACTTCAGAAACACCACAGCTATAAACCCCAACCTCTTCTGAGTGAAAACCCGCCTCAGAAGCTTGCTCAACTATCGGGTCACCACCCTCGTTCACTAGACGTAAATAAAGATGTATGCTTTAGGATGATGATGCATAACACAACACATGGATGGTGAAACATGGATTAAGATGACTTAGACAAGGTTAACTACTTGAATACAACTTTCCTTCACTAAGCAATTAGGTTAATTACTCACAAAACAAGTATTGTTATTATTATTAACCAGTTGAATTTGAGTACACAATCATGTAATGTAATTGCCAAGGAACAGCAAGGTGTTAGTGTTCATGGTCCACAATCAACTCCAAAATTACACCAAACCATTTAATGATTTTATAGAAAGCATTTTGGTATTTTTATTAATCCATAAAAAGACATCTAAATTAAGTGGACAATTTATTTTCATCAAAACAGAGCCAAACTTTTTATGAAGAGTAGTCTAAGCATAAAAAGCATATACACAAAGTTTCATGATTTTAGGATAATTATTTTAGTCTATAAAAATCATGGAATGTCCATTTATTAATTAAAAGAGATATTTTTTAACCTAGCAAAAGTACTGATTTTGACAAACTTATATTTTTCCATGATTAAGCATATCATAACAAAGTCACAGAATTAATTTCATAATTTTATCACTTCTAATTATTTAGTTATGAATTAAACAAGGTTCAGCCTTAATTAGTATTTTCTGAAAAAATGAAAAAGGATAAAAATCCTTTTCTCACTTAACCCTCCCTCACCCTCTCACTGACAACAGGGCCTAGGGGCACGCCTGCGCTGACCACAGCACTGGGGTCGTTGACCGGCAGGTATCCCGCCGGCGGTGAGACCTACCCCGCTAGACTCTCCTCGACCTCGCGCACCTCCCAGTACTACCGGTTGATCAGATGGTGCATGACAGCGACCACGACGGCAACTCCAGCGGCTCGGTGATTCTCCGACGAGGTGGCGATGGTCGACGACGGCGACTTCTAAGACGAGAGCTACTCCTACACGTCCTCCTCGACCTCACGAACTCACGGACATCGACACAAGACAAGCTAAAACACGACAGCATGCACGCCGGCGGCCATGGCGGCACGATGGAGCTCCGGCAACACGGCTACAGCCAACGACAAGCTCTCCGGCGACACGAAGGCCTCCGGCATACTCAACTCCCTCTTGCGCACACACTCGAGGGGTCTGTCAAGTGTGCGCGGACGCGGTGGGTCGGCAAAGCAGAGCACGCCGACACGGCGGCGATTCGGCCATAAGGGCTCGGTAGAGGTAAAACAGATAGCGGCGTTAGCATCAGGAGCTCACCGCGACTTCGGAACGACGACTGGTTAGAACGGGGAGGTGTCGGAACTAGGTCTTCGCCGTTGAGGACAAAGGCGGTGGCGCAGTTCACGGACACAGCGGCATTCCGACTCGTCAAGGGCTCCATTGTGAAAACCAAAGGGCTAGTGAGCAACAGGGTGATAAGATGGAACAGAAACACGAGCTAGATGAGGCGGAGGTGCGCCACAGTGGCCTGGCCACGGTGAGGGGCTCACGACAGCACTTTGTTTGATACCAGGGAAGACGATGGCGTTCGGTCAGCTCCGGCGGGTAGAGCTAACACGAGTTGGTTCAATAGGCAAGGATGTGGCGAAGCTGAGGGCGAGGTGAACTGCGAGAAGGTGGTGCGGTGGCGGTGAAATCGACCGACGAACTGGAGGTGCTCAATGGCGGCGGGAAAAGGAGAAGATGGACTCGACGACCGGCTCAGCGACCTAAGGGCGTTGGCGCAGCTTCTGGGCGTCCAGCAGCTGCGCGTCGCACGCGCTTTAGGCGGTGGAAGGCAGTCGGCGGCGGCGGCAAGCAAGCAAGTCACCGGCGACACTGTAGCGACTGAAACAGCCCTCTTCCTCTTTTTTTCTCTTGATTTCATGTAGCAACATGAAAATCTCCAAGAACAAAAGTTGTTCATCATACTTCGAAGTCCAACTTTGCTTTAAGCAAGAACATCTAATTCAAACCAGATTAGAAGATAAAGGATCAAGAACATAGGCAAGATGAACTGAAACCTTAAACCTTCAGTTTCAGCAGTTAGGGTTTGGCAAAAACAGTTAGTTTATCAACTTTGGTGAATTAATTGGTGATTAATTAATAAGCAAACACATCAACCAATACCACCATTGTAAAGTACACATTTAATACTTCAAAATGATGCTATTGTTTGAACAAGTTTATTCATGAAATTCCTTTAAATAAATTCCCCAAAATTGAATCCAATACTGAAATCCAGCACAGCCAAAATGAGTATTGAAACTCAAGTTTGAATTCAAATTTGGAGCTCAAGTTTTAAGGGTTTGGACTTGAATTCACACCCCATACTTGACACTAGTGTAAAGCACCTACTTTACACTCAAAATTTATTAGGGCATAATTTCAAGTATTTTAGTGAAATTCAAAAATAGAAGGCCGCAAAGTACCTTAAAAGGATTTTTGAGTCTAAGCACAAACCAACACAAATGCATTGCAATACTAATAAATAAATATTGATTTCAGTGAATGCAAAGCATGGTGAGCTACTATAGATGATTAACATGCTTGATGATGACATCATGAAGTTTTAGTGATGCTTAACACCAGGGAACCCACAAAAGGAGGTGAACATTTCACGTCTCTCCCTACAGGAGTCAATGGTAAGTCATGCATAGGTTGAGGGGGGATATGATGGAGGGCAATAAATGTTAGGGGGTTGGATATGCATAAGAGGTCCTTAGAGCTAGGTGTGCATGATTAACTTAGATAAGTTGGATCACATCCTAAGTTGGATCATTAAGAGAAAGGGCTGATGTAGACTTTTCACAATGTGTAGGTTGATAAGGTTCGATATTGGTAGGGTATGGTTCCAACTAAAGCCTACATTTATACTTGGGGAAGTCATGTAGAGGCATGCAGATAGTCCAGAATGACGGGGGGTCTACGCGTCAATTACATAGGTGTTTACACACTCAAGTTATCCTTAGACGGGTGGTCTGTCAATGAGTGTAGACAGTCCGCTAGACCAAGACTATGCAGAGGTTTGTGGTTCTGAGTGCTCTCATGGACGATCCGTGAACAAGTGTACGGTCCATTAGACCAGGGACAAGGTAGTGTAGAGTGTTGGTGGCTCAATGTGGCACTAAGAGACCATCCACATGAGCTGGCGGACTATCTATGTTACCCAAAACTCAGAGGTGGTAGTATCTCTCCTTAGTTCCTTAATAGCAGTAATCTAAAGTACGGTGGTTTTGCCAGTGATGTTAGCACGTGTTTGGTTCAAGGGTCCAAGTGGGTTGGGATGGGTCGAACCCATTTTCTAGAGTGTTTGATTCCAGGATTGGTGGGTTGGGTTCATCCCGCACAGGGAATATTCCATCAGAGAAACCATTTCGATCCAAATGGATGTCGTCACTTCTCCGTGGATGAGCGCAAGCGCAGGGACTACTCAGGGTTTCTCCATCGCTGGCGCGGGCAAGCTCCGGCGCCCAGCCATGGCGGCGCGACGCAACCTCCAGCTCCCGGCCATGGCGCGGGGCCGAGCTTCGGCCCCAGCCATGGCATGGGGCGAGCTCCGACCACAGCAGTGCGGGGCGGCTCAGTTGAGGCGCACGAGTCCTATTGACAAAGGAGGAAGAGCAATAGAAGTGGCTGACAACGTGGGCCCCGCGACGACATCTGGGCCACATGTTGACCAGCAACTAAGGGTGTGTAAAATGTCATCCACCTCAACCCACTCCATCCCTCGAACCAAACAAAAAATTGGAATGACTCTAACCCTCGAAACAAACATGAGATGAGTCCAACCCAACCCTCAAAAGTAAAATAGATCCAACCTATCCCACATCATTCCAAAACCAAACACACGCTTAATGTTTTCTAAAAAGTTTTAGTTGTGTTATCTAGTTGATTGCTAACATGTGTTGAGTTGTTTTTAGTTGTCTGTTGAGTAGTTTTTCATCTCATAGTTGTAAGATTTTTAGGTACAGTTTTCTCTTAGAAACTGGACCAACCCCTCCTTTTTTTCGAATAAATTACGGCAAAGCTTTTGTAGTCATTTAAAAAAATAGTACATGGGCAGAATCAGAAGTAAAGGATTCTCTTCTACTCAAAGAGTTTGACAATAACATAACAGCACAGCTGATCCTACATTAAATTCAGAATATTCACTCTTGGTTCTTTCGAGAATTACATGTACAGACGTCTTGACCTGCTACTGTTGGTTCGCAGTACCAGGAAACACTTCCTACTTCTAGTGTGAGTGTGATGCCATCACTTGTAGGGTATGATAGCAAGCAGCTGGAGCCTGGAGGTTTTCTTTTTAGGCCAAGCCAGCAGCTGGAATTTGGAAAGGGATGAATTTTGCTTCAGTGCTTACCTGCTGTTTGACCAGAAGATTATTAGTGGGCTTATAGTATCTAGTGTAGAAAATCTGGAAGTTTATGAATGAAAATTGAGGTGATGAATCTCACGTGATGCGCCAAATCACATGTTTAATAAAAAAGATGGATGTACAGAAATTACACTGTTTTAGCCAGCAAATCAGTTAAAAACTGACAGGGGCACAAGGTCACAGGCATTTAATAAAAGTCCCCTTAAAGTTCAGAGCTGTATGCGTTTAATATAAGAAAATTCAGTAATAAAGGGCAACCTTGGATGGGGCAAAACAAAATATCACACATAAAATAAGTACACTATTCGGGGGCAGTTTCAATCATTCAGAAACTGAATTTTGTCAAATGGATGTGGCATGGTTCCAATAAAACATGTGATAGAAAATATCTAATAGAACTGTTGGAAGTGAGAAGGGAATTAAAAGAAACCAGATAAGGGGAAAAGATGCCCCCGACATAGCACTAAGAAGAATGCCAGGCTTTGAACACAGACTGGTGACGGGGTTTTCTTTGACCCCAGGACTTGAACGGTCTAACCAGTGTAACTCGCAAGATGTTGGTAGTCAAAAGAGAATTCAGCAGAGGTATAAATCACATATGCCATAAACAGAAAATGGAGCGCAGCATGTCTTCTATTCATCATTGCACATTAGAAATGCATCAAGTCATGAACAAGTTGTGGGTAACATAGAGAAAATGTAGAGCAAAAGCTGGGTGGTGTCAAGACCTGGTAAGTTTTTGAAAATGGATAGTTTCTCCAGCTGCGATACAATTTAGGTTGCTGATTGTGATTGGCTCTCCATTGTTTGGTTCTGCACATTGAGCCACACATGTTAAATTGGAACATTAACTCATGTTGGTGAAACCAGCAGAACATAAGGAAAAAGGTCAAGTGTATATTAAACTACTGCACTCACTTTGGCTCGCAGAACTTTCTGGCTTTCACTGAAATATTGATTTGGATGGTTAATTCCAGAATCACAGGAGACACCGTGTGTGGTCTCAAAGGTTAATGTGCAAGCTAGCTGTATATTTCATTATGCCAGATAAACCAGTCAGTTCAGGGATATCATATTACTCGGTTAAGCCAATGGCAATGAAGTACAGAACCTGGTAATGCCTGTTCTTCACTTTATCCATTATCTCTTCCAATGCATGCCCACCAACGCCCATTTTGTTAAGTGCTGCCCGCAAATTTTCTTCGCTGCAGATACAGTAAAGCAGAAACAAATGCATGGAGCAAACATCAGGTACAAAGCAAGGTAGAATCATGTTTATCTTGAAACATCACAAACTGACATGCCATGTGACATCACAACAGAAGCTGCTGTGACCATAATCGAGTAAGAAACTATACAATAGAAAAGTATGGATGAGACTAGATGAAACAATATTGGCAGGAATTAGGGCAAAATGTGTCATTGCTCTGCTTGGTAGTTTAGTATTGTACTATTTGGTTCGACCTGGATACATGTGAGTAAACAAAATATTAACTTCTCGTTCATAATTACCTATGGTTTCTTTTTGGTACATTAAGCTTTTTTTTTGTTGGGTGTCATTTTTTTAATCAGAAAAACTGGAAGTTAGAGACCTCTTGCTCCATTCAGATTTTCTGGTTTCCAAATGTCATCTTACTTCGACCTCAAAGTTCAGGAGTAATCTAGAGAAAAAAAGGGAAGATCGGAAATACAAACTGATACTGCTAACAGAAAGTTCAGAGCACCCATCTAAATAATAAGCACATAGTAATCGTCTATAGGAGACTAAGGGTGAAATTGTACCCAAAATGTCGAAACGGGCATCCATGGTGATCTCCAACACCAGGTGTTGCAGAAATGATCTTTTGACATGAATATGGAGTGTAATCCTGGAGCAGCATGTGTGACAGTAAGTAATAATTCTGGTGCAATTTCAAGTTACACATGGAGGAGGGACTTACTGTCCGTTTTCCTTCTTTTCCGTAGTTATGTCTGATGGTATAGGCATATTCCTTGTCGAACCGCTCAGAACCAATCTTATCCAAAGATACAACATAAGTGAGGCAACAGAAATTGTGATTACTTGCGTGTTCAACTCAGGGAAAATTTACTGTTTAATTTCCTTGAGAAAAAAGAACTGCTTAATTTTGCATATCTTTGAACATATTAGCTCAGTGTGCACTGCTAATATATAGAGGCAATGATGTTGTAACGTGCTTCTGTTAAATGTTTGCATGATACAGTACATGTAAAAAAAGTATATGTACCTTCTGAGAAAATTCCGCCCTCCAAAATGCAAGAGCATCTTCCAACTTTAGTCCAGCACCCTGGATCATAATTTCCAGAAGTAAATTAGTGTGACATAATTTTAGGTACCTATATATCAAAGTTTTTCTCTAATTCATTCAACTATAAAACTATTACCTTAAGAAAAAGACCAAACTGCATTCTACCCCCATGCTTCAGATGGTGGTTTTCTCTCAACTGCAAAATAAATGAAAACAGTGAGACACCTGGTTGCAAGGTATGTATATCTACAGGAACATTTAAGGTACCTCACCTTATCTAGCATATGCCGCATACAAAGAGGGAAAGAACTTTTAGCCAGTTGGTCAATATCCTTTAGAGATATGTCAACAGCATCCTTTGGCTGTGTGAAAACAAGTCAAGCGATTCAGCTGGCAACAGCACTAGAGGGAAACATAGTTAAATCTCAGGAAAGTCAAGCGTAACTGCACAGGTGAGACAGCATACCTGAGAGTAATCAGGTCCAAAATACGCATTGCTTAATGCTTCGACAATCTGTCATGATAAAATTAGATATCTATATAAAAAAAGATTCTGAAAGAAAAGGTAGGGAAGTGGTACTCTGGTACTCACAGGAGTCAACCTGTCTTTTTCTTGTTCTTTAATGGTTGCTGTCCATTTTCTGTACATTAAGCAATTACACATATCTTAGCTTAATATGACCAGTGAGCACTCAGTTTAGATCTTAATGCCAACTGCTTCTCATAAATGTCATAGTAAGAAAGAACTGGAAACTTTCAAAGTACGATCTTTCTGCAAGTATGTGATAAATTATTTGATTATTTCCAAACAAAAGATAGCGTAGGTACTATATCTAAAGCCACAAGAGATTTCCTGCAGAGAATTAAGTAAGAAGGCTTCCAAAACATGTTCCATAGGTACTGAACAAAGTAAAACTAGTGTACCATGTACCTGTTTGTTAAAGCAAGTGCCTTTGAGATATTGCAGCGGAATTGAGTAACCACTAGCGAAACCACCTACAGAATTACATAGCTATGTTCATAAAGGCCACCAACCAAAACAACAATTGAAATTTTTATTCTCATGTTAACAGCAAACCTGGCTCATCGCCACATAAGCATAGCCTTTTGAAAGAAATACCCGGCGGCTGGCAACAAGATCAGGAACTTCTTCAAAAGGTACCTTAATTGGATCACAATATGATTTACTTGGAATTAATTTTTGCACAGAAGAAAAGATTTAAATGGAAAAGGGATAAAGAGCTCAAACATGTAAGTGTATGTACCTTGAAGAACACATGCTCAACTGCCAAAAATGAAAATGTACAGAAAGAACTTAGCTTCCGGTAAAAGAAGACAAAAGCAGATAATGAAAGAAAAAGAACAGAAGAAAGTTGATGACAAGGTTTAACACAGTAAATGTTTCAAATGGTTGTTCTATACATTGTAAATTGCAATACATTTCCTTTAACCTGAATTTCAGTCACAATGGTAAATCTGCTGTTTCAGTATGTTAACTGCTTAGATTTTTTTTAGAAAACCGAGTAATCTCCGGCTTCTTCAATTGCACACAGCCTGCTTTTATTACAAAGTTTTGAGCTATCCAGCTGACTTAAGGGAAACGACAGAAAAAATAAAAGCTACCTTATAATAACTGCTTACATGATGCACAAAAATACGAATCATAGAGAAGCATCCTATTCTGTATCTGATACTAACAACCAGTTTTGAACAGAATTCTGCAATAAAAAATGAGTGAAAGATAGTGGCAATATCAAATGATGCATACCATTTGCAGATTGACCGATGGAACGCGCTACTTGGCTCAACTTGTCTTTCACAGCCTAAAATATGAAAACGAAAATCACTTCGCAAAGCAAACTGGAAAAAGCTAAACACTGCAGTTGTACAGTGTTAAGAAAGATCCAAGTCCTCAGCAGTTATATTAGAGGCCAAAGTCTATACCTCAAACTCTGAGTGTGGCAGTGCTTTGTATGGCAGTTGAAACTCAGTCATAAGCATCCTCTGAAACATATGTTGTGCAACAAACAACAGTTAAAGTATAAATGCATATTATTTTCCTTTGTCAGTAATATGGTAAATGGATAGGAAGTCACCTGTGATTCAGGACTCTCAAGCCGAAAGCGATACCGAAAAAGTGTAGTCTCCATGGAGAGAAACCACTTTCGCAATTCTTCCCTGTGTGTTGTATCAAATACAGCTTTCCATTTAGTTGGTCAAAAGAACCACCAGTGAACCACCATAGTTAATATATGTAGCTAATATAAACATACGGATATTAAGCTTACGTTCTGCAGTAGACTAGGCGAAGCACAAAGTGTGATATTATATCCTTGTTCAAAGTCTCTGCTGGATCCTGGTGCCTCATGTGTGTCTTCCACAATTCACTGACCTGAAGTGCAGAACAGAATAAGGCATTTCTATTTAAAACAAAATTTAGACAAATGCCAGAGTGTGATGCTAAGTCCATAGCTAGGGTTCCAAAACCTTCCATGTTATCTTACTTCAATATGATTCTGAGGAGAGAGCAACAATTCTAGCTACAAAACTGAGACCATAGCTAAGCCCATAAGCATGAATGATAGTCAAATTAAATTTGGAATTTCAGATAGTAGTACCACGGTAACATCCAAAAGGGCCTAAGTTAGGGTCTCCTCACATTCACTAGCGAAAATCCAACTCAGACAAAGAGTTCGATCCTACACATACACAAGACTGCAATCACCGAAACCTTAGCCTCCTGCTGGCAAAATCCAAATTTTCCGCCAGAAATATGCTCCAAATATAGTTCCCTCCTACAATTTCCCCCCAAGATCATGAAAAGCAAAGGCAAGAATCGCTCACCAGTTTCTCCATCTCCTCGGGCCTCTTCCCCCGCGAAAGTCCATCCGAAATCCCCTTGAGAACTGCCCATCACAGTGCAATGAAACGCGTCGCACTGCAACCGTTAGCCAGATTGAGGAAGTAACGAAGGGAAGCCACGCGGGATAGGAAGAGGCAGGAGGCCGCACCTCGGAGGCGGTCGATGGCAAAGAGCTCAAACTCCTCCAGCCGCACCTCGAGCTGCGGTGCCGCCTTGTAGGTAGGCAGGGCCCCCGCGCCACCGCCGCCGCCGGCTGCGGCAGCTGCGGCGGCGACCTGCCGATGGGAGCGCACGATCTCCATGGGGCGTCGGGGGGCTGCGCGGTCAGCGGGTCCGGAGCGCGGAGTAGGATCCTCGTGCGGCCGGGGCCGGCGTCTGCGGACGGTGCGCTGGCGTCGTCGGAGACTACGAGGCGCGGGCGGGAGGCGGTTTGTTGCGGGGATTAAGTGTAGGAGAGCCAGGGGCCGGGCGGCGGCGGGAGCAAGGAAAGTTTGGGGCGCTTTGGCGGGAAAAAGACCTGCTTTTCCCGCCGCGACGCGCGCTGTTCGGCAGTTGGGCTTGATTTGGGATTACCACATTAGGCCCAGCTGACGCTCATCGGCGGCGGAGAACAGAAGCGGTGGCAAGGTCCGTGGCGACCGCGCCCCGGCCCGGCCCGCTCAGAGATCCAGCGCGCCTCAAGGTGGGCGTTCGGTTCTCGGTTCGGTTTCGGTTCGGTTCGTTCGGTTATCGAAGAAATTCGGTTTCCAGAAAACGGGAATCGATCGGTTCCAAAAAATTTTAGGAACCGAGCATTTCGGTTCTCGGTTATTTCGGTTCGGTTCCGGTTCTAACCGAACTAACCGAATTTTTTCAGAAGACCTCAAGACAATAATAAATATACTTGTTCTAAGACAAATTTATGCAACACTATATTCATTTTTAATAATAATAATATATAAGAAAACAATAGCAATATAGTAACACAAATATATAGCAGTTCAAATATAAAACACTACACATAATCCTACAAAATACAAGTAAGTGAAGTATAATTCATGTAATTCGGTTCTTTCGGTTAATTCGGTTAACCGAGAGTAGGAATCGAATTTTCTTCGGTTATTTCGGTTCTTCAATATCAGGAACCGAATAAGGAACCGAAATTTTCGGTTCTGGTTCTTTCGGTTCCGGTTCTTTCGGTTCGGTTCTCGGTTCTCGGTTATTTTTGCCCAGCCTTAAGCGCGCCAACGACGCGCCGGGGATGGTACTCTTGCTGAGGATCGAATACGCATGGAATCAGATACGGATATTACCTTATTTTAATTCGAATATGGATACGGATATTTTCAAATAAGAATACAAAACGGATGTCCCGGATTTAAAATGCTATTCAGATATTTACTTAATTTAACTCAAAGTATATATCGTTAAATTTAACATGCATGAATAAAATTTTACTACTAAGTTCATCGGTAACCAAAGTGAACTAAACGAAAGTACACTTCTAATAATCTTCAATATCATATTGCAAACAAAATCTCCAATGTAGAAGTAAACTAAATTATAATGGATAATATTTAATGAAATAAAATGTCAAGTGAAATTCAAATAAAAATGGTAGAAAACAAGTGGTCATTTTGCTTTATCAATATTTTTGGGATTACAAAATTATTACACAAGTAGAGATTAAAATGTTTGTGTATATAACATACACAAGTATAGCTCATAAAAATAATAGAGTTATAAATAAATATTTAATAATTAAATATATAAATTAATCAGTCAATATTATATTTATACAAATATTTAGCATGAAATGTAAATTATATAAAATAATTAACATCAATAAATCAATAAACTAAAGCATTAAAACAATTTACAACAACAAATATGTGAGGTTTAAACTAAATTAGGCAAATGCTAAAATTAATTTAATATTTAAGTATCATTAGTAATTTTGAATTAATACTTAAAGTTATTTATAGATATACTATTAAATGGTTTCAATACATCATTAATAATTATAAAATTATATAATTGGTCACTAGTTATGGAGAGAACTTTTAAATAGATTCATGATACCTGGTTTTCTTTGCAGATACGAATATTCAACCTGTTCGGCTGGGGCTGAAACGATCGTGGGTTATTACTGCTGGCTGGTTTGGTGTGCGAGAAAAATACTGTTCTGGCTGAAAATTTACGATCGTTTATGACCAAGCGAACAGGCCGATTGTCGGATATTGTCGAATATGGATCTACGTCTTGTTCGCTTGGCTTATAAATCGTATTTTTTCAGCCAACGAACAGTATTTTTCTCTCACCATAAATTAGCCAACGATACTTTCAGGGGGGCTAGAATCGGATAGAGAACTCAATTTAGTATACATATTAGAAACGGATGCAAATAAATATATCCATGTCACTAGTTTTAGCGGATACCGATGTCGGGTAATTAGGATATCCATTTTCATTTTCCGTCCCTAAACAAACCAACAAATGCCGTGTTGTTTCGCGTGCTGGCCTGCTGGGAGTTCTAACAGCTGGGCCCACCACCGGCCGGGCTGAGCGGACGGATTGTTCTGGCTACAATGATCTCGTGAGCTAACGTGTGTGCGTTTCTTCCTCCTCGCATCCGTCCTCAGTCCTCAGTCCTCACCTGACACCAGAGTCCTCCAAGTCCCTCCGTCGTCCATCCAGTAAAGGTAAAAAAGATGTCCACCAAAGACCAAACCCAATCTCTGCAAGATGTGATTCTCTGGCTGATTTAGATCTTCCTTAAAGTAACAGCATGGCTTGCGAATGCAGTTGTCATGATCAAAGGCAAATCAGTGACGATGATGTCCTCCTCCGGACACAGCGGCGGCGAGAGCCCTGCAGACGGAGCTGATCCGCGGTCCATGTCGGAGACGCCGTGTGCCATGCAGCCCGGGGTCCTCCCTCTTCTCGGGAGGCCATACTTCACATGCATCCTCTGCAAGTCTCATGTCCACCAGCCGTTTCAAGTGGTACTGTTGCGGCTCATGCTCTGCTTGCATTTTCTGAAACACTAGTCTCCTTCTCTCCTTCTCTGCTGTTATCTCTTCTAAACTGAAATGCAAGAGGCTTTATTTACGGCCTGCAATGATCAAACTCCTTTGGTGCCTGTCTGCAGGTGGTCCCCAGGTCGCTGGCGCCGTTCCTCCCGGCGACCACGGTGCCAGCGAAGGTGACATGGCACGGCCGGTCCTGGGAGATGCGGTTCACGGGTGCCCGGCAGATCCAGCGCCTGGAGGCCGGGTGGCGGGGCTTCGCGCTGGACAATGACCTCAAGCTCGGCGACGGGTGCGTCTTCGAGCTGCTCGACGGCAAGGCGGAGGGCGTGGTGTTCAGGGTGCAGGTGCTCCGCGCCGACATCCCCGAGGAGATCCGGGAGCGCGCCGGCGGGTACACCTCGTCCACCCCGATCCTTATCGACTAGCTCACCTCAGCTGCTGTGTTGTGTATCCCCCCGTGTCGTGCGGCCGTCTGCCACTCTCAGTGCGGCCTGAAACTCAGCAGCTGCATGGGTTCATTGATGTGCAGAGTGCAGCGCAGCCTGTGGCGTGTTGAACTCAAATGTGGACAGAGCTGAAACCTGATGTTTCGTGAGAAATTCATGTACCTATATTCGTCTCTGTTTATCTCTTCTTCCAGGCTAATGCAATTTTGCTGCATAGCCGGGCAAAAGCACTCTGAAACTAGTGACTTTTGTTATCGCATATTACTCAACTTTAGATGTCCGGTTTGAATATTTGAAACAGATTTGTGCCGAAATATAGTTTTATTAGAAATACATATGACAGACAGGCGCAGCAACAATGCAAGCAGCACACATGCTGATGGTACGGGGGTAATAATGGTTATGGCTACACATATGGCGGCACACGAACAACATGGCATAGGCAAAGATCATTCTTCCTCATGACCGACATGCCCATCCTCTCATCCATGTCCAATTCGCCGGGCATCACGCCGCCCGGGAGCTCCCAGTCGAAGTGGTAGAGCAAGGAAGCGAGCACGAGCTCCACGGTGGCCAGCGCGAATGTCGCGCCGGGGCACATTCTTCGCCCGGCCCCGAACGGTATGAACTCGAAATCGGTGCCCTTGAAGTCGATCCGGCCATCCTCGAACCTCTCCGGCTTGAACGCATCGGCGTCGTCCCAGTGCTCTGGGTCCGTGGCGATCGCCCATGCGTTCACCAGCACCATGGTGCCCTTCGGCACGTCGTAGCCCATCACCTTGCGGTCCTCCATGCACTCTCTCGGCAGCAGCAGCGGCAGCGGCGGGTGCAGCCTCAGAGTCTCCTTGATGACGAGCTTCAGGTACCTGAGGTTGTGTAGGTCGTCCTCCGTCACCGCTGGCTTCCCTTGGAGCCTGCTGCGCACCTCGGCCTGCGCTTTCTCCATTGCTCCTGGGTTCCTCATCAGCTCTGACATGGCCCATCCCAGCGTGGCCGCTGACGTGTCGCTCCCTCCGCTGAAGAGGTCCTGCCAAATTTCAACGCCATGACCGTTGTACATCTATGTCCTTCACCAGCAAACTTTTTTTTGGGTACTAGCTAGTTGTTATTACTTACAATAACGAGAGATTTGATGATGTCCATGGTGAGGGGCACCTCGAGGCCACCTTCCTTGTGTACCCTCAGGAGCACGTCAAGGATGTCCTCGTCGTCATCCACCGTCGTGCCCGCGCGGCGCCGCTCCTCGTGCTGCCTGACGGCGCGGTCCATGAGCTCCATCGTCTTCCGCTGGACCGCCGTCACCTGACCCGCCGTCCTGCTGAAGAAGCTGGCAAGCCTCGACGTCGGGAACAGGTCGCCGAGGCTGAACCCCGACACGAGCCTGCTCCCTTCCTCGATCGCCCGCAGGAACTCCTCCCGCCACTCGAACTGGTCGCCGACCATGGCGCGCATCGTGGCATCGGCGGTGAGCGCGGCGACCCGCTTGCCAACGTTAACGGCCTCGCCCGGCGTGGCCGCCGCGAGCGCAAAGGCGGCGACGAGGCGGCGGGTCTCGTCCTCGCGGACCCGGCGGAACGAGCGCACGCGCTTGGCGCTGAGCAGCTCCAGCACGCTGATCCTGCGGAGCTGCCGCCACAGGGCGCCGTAGCGCCCGAACACCAGGCCCACGGCGCCCCGCTCCATGGCAGGACGCACGCTGGGGATCCAGGGCCGCGACGCGAACGCCACGTCGTGCGCCCGCATGATCTCCTGCGCCGCGGCCGGGGACGAGGCCACCACCAGCCCCACCTCACCGAGCCTCAGGTACATGAGCGGCGCGCCGTGACGCCGTGACAGCTCGGCCATGGCGCGGTGCGCTAGCGGGATGCGCGTGAACAGCAAGTGGTGGAGGCTGCCGATGACCGGAAGCCGCGACGGGCCTGGCGGCAGCCTCTGGCCGGCGCTGCCGCCATGCCAGTTAAGCTTGAGGAGCAGGACGGGGAGTAGGAGAGCCACCAAGAAGAGGCACAGGGCGTTGGCAACCTGCTCCATAGCCAGAGCGCCGAGGACCAGGACCATGGTGATGCCTCAAAGAAGCTCGTAAGATATGGTATTTGAAGGTTGGATGCAGGGCGGTGGCAACCTGCTCCATAACCTGCTACATATACTACTAATTTTTGACCCTATCGCATCGTTTCAACTTACATCAAACACAAATATGATATAATAGATTGCTGCATCAGTTTTGCAGATCTGATGCAATAGGTGAGCATTATTGCATCGAGAATGAATTTGATGCGATGATAATTCATGTGCATGCAAGAGGTATGGTATTTGAAGTTTGGGACGGGCAGGACGCTCCAAAGTCAAGCACTGGCGGCCTAATGGACCCTTAGAAAAATGACTCGAAGACGTAACAAGCAGTGCAGAGAAAGAGAATAAAAAATATACTTATACAAATTAGGCCGGCTTATAGTAGTTATCTACTAATAATTGCATCTTTTGAATCAAACAGGTGTTGATAATAGACTAGCTAATAATTATTAGCTAGAACAACTATCTTATTAGTGGGACCAAATTAGATAATAGCAGCTAGAGCGACATCGAGGAAGTGCTCTGCCAGGCTAGCTTGCACGTCGCCAACCGTGGCTTCATCTCCACTCCGTTCTACTTCGCCAAGCTCTGACACCGTGCCATCGGCTCCTTGTTGTAGCCGTAGCGAGGGGCGGTCCTCAGGGTTTTTTTTACCTAGAACACAAAACTAAAAATTCGGGGCCCTTTATATAAAATGGTAATATTAATACTTAATATATAAGGTATATGAAATATTAACAATAAATAGTTAGCTGCATGCAAAAGCAATATTTATGTAAAATAATTCATCCATATTAAATTATCTTAAAATTTTCTTCTAACGTTCCTTGATGTGAAATCATTGATGATGATATTAATATTGATCTCGTCCAACAATCGCTTCTCAATACGTATATAATGTATATAATGTTGCCAAATCATTTATCTCTCTTGAGACATCGTAGATATCAAATAGTTTCTCAATAATTTTAATTTTGAAAAGCTTCTTTTAGCAGCTGATGCGATGATTTTGTTGAAATTTAAAAAACAATTAGCAACTATAACTAATATTGTGTGCTAGACAAGACAATTCACAAAAAAATAAATAAATAAATTCTTATATGGCTGTATGTACGCCTGTACCCTACCTTGAGGACTTGAGTCCCTTGTCCCTAGCAGATTGATTGGATTCTAAATTTCTGATTACTGAATTAAATTTGCAAATTGCATAGGGGCATAGGGCACAGCACTGAGCACAGAGCACACTTGAGTACGTGACGTGAGGTCTGGATCAATATAATCAAAGAATGACGGAATCAACAATCACAATAAGATGTGTAGATTTTTCAGCAAAAAAAAAGATGTGTAGATTGGATATTTGAACCATTCACCCGCAGGTGATTGGTTGTATTCAGTACGAGTATTCTGTATTCATACCTTTACGTGCCCACGCGTGGCCTGCTCGTGCTCGAGTGCTCGTACTGGGCCTTCATCCTAGGCATATTCTAGTGTTTACTGCTGGGCCGGCCCTAGCTCGTTGGCCGGCCGGCGTGTGTTTGTTTTCTTTGCGGGACTGTTGATAGAGCTCCAGACGGCCGCCGCAGAGCGCGCGGCGCCGGCATGGCCCTTTTGTATAACTGTACTTGCAAGGTAGCGTGCTCACCTGCCTTCAGCCAGTTGCATTCCGTAGCTTGATTTTTTTTTACAACAACTACTGCTGATCTGCTTTCGTTTACAACAACTACGAGAAGTGGTCAAGATAGAAACACTGAGGGTCTCCGTTCTCGCACTCCGATAGCACAGTCGGCGCTCCCCTCGACTGTTTGATCGGCATGTGTCTTCGATGATAAGTTGTCTTGAGCCATAGATAGGATGGAGACTTCACCGGGCTCAAAAAAATGGTCCGCAATCATCAGTGTCAAATCTGAGGACCAACAACAACTGACGTTGGTGGTCAACCCGAACACCAATATCTAGTTTTCTACTTCCACGTCTGTAGAGAGACTCATCAGCAGATATGTAAATAACACAAAAATACTCTACTTGAGTAGTAACACAGCAGCCGTAATGAATTTGACAGCGAAACCGGGCGCCTCTGTCATGTAGGACACATGTTGCCGTGTTACAGCTGAGGAGGACAATGAACTCTGCTGCATGTACTCCACGTTGCTGTGGCGGGCCCCATGATTCAGATGGGGCCCGCCACAGAGAACAGGGGTGTAACACCCTAGGTGTTTAGGCTTCCACTAAATTGCATGTCATTTCATAACCATGTGCATTATCTATGTCATCATGTCATTATCACTGAAACATACATATGCAACATTTTAAATTGTATGTGTCTCATGCTTGATTGCTTAGAATGGTAGTAGGGAAACATGTGAATGTAACATGAAACTCTCATACTTGGAAACATGGCAATATGGTAGTAATGTGACAAGTATAGGATAACAACAAGGTCATGCAACATGTGAAACGTTGTATTGAAACATATGTATGAATTGCTTGTTTTACTTTCTTTATCAAATATGATCAGTAGAAGTGGTATAACAATTTTGTAAAGTGGTTGATCATGGTCTATTACACCTTAACTATACTTAGGTTACTTGTTGGAACATTGTTCATGTAGACCAAAATGACCAAAATGCCCTCAAGTGCAAGTTTGACTTGAATTGACCCATGGAGTGTCATCGTTTGACTGATTCAAAAGTCCAACCTAGAGACTTTGCATGGCTGTGCACTCTTTACAAAAATTGTAGCTAATTTATCAAGGAACAAAAGTTGTTTTATTACCAACTCATGAAATTGGCTAGAACATGCTCAAACATGGCCCACAAGTCAGAAGTACATGCTGATTTCATACTCAGCAAATTTTTCTAAGTCCTAACGTGAAGTACAGTTTCGTGTACCCATGTTTGGAGCCGTGTATCTCCCTAACCGAGCCAAACCAGCTTGAGCTCCAGTGGAAAGAGTTGTAGTTCAAGTATAGATGAGCAACTTTGTTAACTACGGCATAGTCTAGATCATCACGGATTAGGAGAAAATCATCTTGAATACTCATTTGTCGCATTGTCATTAGCAATCGAATCGCGTTTTCAGATAACCGTCGAGTCACCATGGCCGACCGATTCAGAAACTTGAAGCCGCGTGTGTCCCACCACCCGTCGCCGCTTTGGTTGGCCAGCCCATTGCAGCCAAGCGCTTCTCAAGCGTCAGCGTCGCCGCGCTTTGAAGCCACCCCCGCTACCGCTCACCGAGTCGCCGCTCCATTTCTCCCTTCCTTCGCCTCTTACGCTCACCGTAGCTCTGTTTGGATCACCGAAGCCGCCGAGCCAAAAATCCACCGTAACCAAGCTCCATTGCCCGATTCGTCCAAGCCATAGCCCAGCGATGAGCTTCTCCCGTCCGCAACCACACCATCACGCGTTTTCGCGCCGGTAGAGATCATCGCAGAGGCGGCTCCACCGGTCGCCATGACCGCCGCCGCCAAGAGCTGCGTGGCCGTCTTTGCTCAAGCCCTTCCATCCTTTTCTCCCCTTGCGATGACTTACGTGAACCCTCATCAAGCTCAGAGAGCCACCATGTAGGTCTAGCTGCCACGGGACACGACCGAAGGCGCATGCCGCGGCGCCATGGCCGATTCGGCCAGGCGCCATGGCCGAGCGCTTAGGGACCACGAGAGCTTCGGCTTGGTAGGGAAATCAAGCGTGGGGACTTGGGAAGCATCTCGGTCTTTGTTCGATTCACGGAGGGTTCACCGTCGGCGAAGTTCCACCGTCGCCGAGGCCGCCTCCCTGCTCCTTCGGCCGACACGCGGGTCCTCCTGTCAAGATCGTGGCTGAGGCGGGAGCCTGCGTGGGCAGCAGATTGGGCGGCCAGAAAGCTCATGGGCCGCCATTTCTTGGGCTGGCCCGAGTAGGGTGAGTGTTGTTTTCCTATTTTGTTTTGTTTATTTATTTCATGATTTATGTACATCTTGAAAAATATGTAGCTCTTAGATGGTAGATCCAAATGCTATGGTTCTAATTTTGTTAAGCTCCTGGTCCTGTCTAGTATTTAACAAAAATATTATATGAGCACATGTTTTAGAAATTTGGATGAATTAAATAGGACTTTGAAATGTGTTTTGGATACATGCAAACTTGTTTGAATTTTATCTTGAGTTCCTGTGGTCCAAAATTATTATGAAATTTTGTGGGCAGTCTATGATTGCTTATTAGAAGCTCTGGTTAAAATTTCAGAGCTAGTGCATGTGTAGTTTTTAAGTTATAGAATTTCCTTTTATTAATGGGTGGATCTTGGGGGAATTTTCATAATTTTTCTATAGGTCCAGTGAAGGTGAAATTTGATGGGTGCTATTCTTATGCTAGAAAGATGCTAGGAAAAATGGGAAATCTGTTGCTTGACACTTTTTAATAAGGTTTCCTAATTATGCTCAAATTAGACATGTCATCTGTTATTTTGGATACAGCAAGTTATGTTGGTCCTATGGCTTTGAAATTTTTATGATGGTCTATGTGCAGCATGAGATAGCTACTGTAATTTTGTAGATTTTTATGAATAGTTTTACTATATATTGCTTAAATCACCTAATTAACTAAATAAATTGAAAAAGGATATTAAATAATTTATTTAGAAGTTGGCACTATACTTTCTGATGTTTCTTAGGTATGAAAAACAAGTTGGTAAACTTGGTTTGATGAAAGTATGCTTTTGCACAATCATTAAATAATTAAGTTAGTAACCCTGTCATTTTGGATGATTCTAGGTTTGTTTTGAAATTGATTTGGTTAACATCGAATCATGCTTTGTTGTTTACCATTGATTTGTAGAACATTTCATAAGCTTTCCAGAATATCCTCATACAAGTCATTTAGATTTGTATAACTCTTGTTGTGATTTAATTAAGGGACTACTTGTATGCATATGAAACTTAAATGTTAAATTATGTATACCTTTATTATTTCTAAGTTGTGGTAATGTTCCTAGGTGTTAGGCCTTTAACC